TATATATATTTCAGTAAACTAATTTCCCATATAATTAAACAATTCTCAGAATTAATAGATATATAAAATATATGTAAAGATAACCTATTTACACAGCCCTTATTATTTTACCTTAATAAATATTAATTAATTGCTTTTGTAATTGGTATTCAACACTGGCAAGATATATATATCTATTGAATCCATCGCGTTGCAATTATATTTTCCAGACATTGTATCTTTCACAAACCAAGGATGTCAGATACATCTCATGCATATAATCTTTCATAATAGACAAATTGCATGCATAGGATGTGCTTCACATCTTTGGATTGCAAAAATATATCTGGAAAATGTGATTTCAATACAAGACATTCATAGCCTAAAAAAACTTTGCATTCTTATTATTTAGCGATATCAATTAATATCACTTATGAAGCAATATAATTTTTCAAAAAAGAGATTGAATATCATAATTATGAATTATGTTTTTTAGTAACATATTTTGCAATCTTAATATAATGTACACTTATAATTTTGATTCCGTTAACCAAGTGAATTGTTGTGGCTTGCGATCTGCTTGCGGGTTGATCATAATATTTATTAAACTGGGACTATCTTTTATCTGAAACAATATTTTTATAAATTATGCATTCCGTTTTAATATTTAAAGAACTAGATTCAATAGCAGTTCTACCTTGAGAGATAGCTTTAATGCTTGTTGAATTTCATGCACGGTAGTGCAGAAATGTCCTTTCTTGCCAAACATTTCCATCAGTTTCTCATAATGAGTCTCAGCTGTCAAAGAATATGGAGGTGTCCTAAAAATATAATTTTAATATTACAAGTATCTGGATATGAACTCACATGATATAAGAGAAAGTATATTTAGATCAAAGATGTTTATATAATAATATTAAACAATCTAATGTTTGATATTTAACATTAAGATTGCAGAGATACGTACACTTGCGTAGGATCTCCAGATGCCTGTAATTGTCTGAACGTTTCGTTATCGAAACCACCGTATATACCGTTATTATTCACGATTATAATAATCACCGGTAATTTATATCTGCAAAGAAAGGAAGGTCACTGGGATTATAACTTTACATTTCTTTTGCGCATAAAATATCAGTTTTTCTCTCTTGGTAATTTTCTACTGAGGTTTACCGAAACATAGTCTCAACTTCCATCCCGGAGAATCCGAAAGCGCTGTCCCCTTCCACGCAGATTACTCTCTTTTTCGGCGCGTTGTCTTTGCAGTAAAGGGCAGCCGCGATCGCAAATCCAAGCCCTACGCCCATAGTGCCGAATGTACTGGCGTCCAATCTGTGACGAGGTAAATCGTTCAAGAGAATGGTTCGTCCGATGTCCATTGTATTAGCTCCCTCAGAACAAATGATACAATCTATAAAAAAATATAGATAAAATTTTATTATAAAAAAATATCTATGTATATGTAATATTTAAAACATACACGCGCAATTTTTTTTATTAATTTCATGAATCGATCTATGCATGTTAATTCTTTTTTTAATAAATTGTAAACTAAAATGCATGCAATTTTTTCAGCGGAATCGTTATACGGAATTGTATGTAAATGATATAAAATATATGCTCACCGTTCGGTATGACAGCTTGAATATGTTTAAAAACAGTATAATAATTCAGGGGCACACTGGTATCCGATGACATGCGCTGTAAATGAACGAGAAAATTATTGCGAATTTATCGCGCACAGGGAAAAAAAAATCTTTATTCAATTCGTAATTAAAATATATGCTCACGTGAACTAATTGCTTATTCTTCTCGATTTTCGCCGCAAGGTCCTTCCACCACGAATCGTTTCGGTCGACATGCCATTTTCGACTTTTCAACACATTCATCAAATATTCCGTCGCAGGCGCAATGTCCGATTGTATGGCGACGGCGGACGGCACCGAATTGTGCAACTCTTCGGCACACAAATCAATCTACAGAGTTTTACATTAATGTTATAATGTGCAATAATTTATATCGTTTAAGAGTGATTTTTCTCAACATTTTTTAGCAGCTATTAGATTTTTAAAAAATATATTTTTTCAGTCATTGCAGACTCTTCACGGAAGATACGTTTAGTTCTTTTAATTTAATTTCAATAAACGAAGAGAGAGAAAGCTGCGTGGAAATGGAGACTCGCATCATCAGAGACCGTGACCGATTTACCTGTATGACTTTGACGTCGCTTTGAAACCTGGGTGGTCGTCCAAAGTGCAACATCCAATTTAATCTCGCGCCTAGCAATAAAATCACATCGGATTGCAGCAACGCGAGTGTTCGCGCACTGGAGACGCAACGCTCATCTGTATCCGGTACAACGCCTTTTCCCATCGGTGTCGGCAAAAAGGGTACATTCGTTGAATAGATAAACTCTCTCACTGGATTTTCAGCTCGAGCGTAAGCGGCACCTTCGTATAAAAAGTGTGTAAGGAAAGAAAGGAAAAGAGAAAAAAGATGGTCGAGTAAAAATTCTCTGCGAGATCTGTGTGTTTACCCTTGCCGACTATCACCAAGGGCTTCTTCGCCCTTATCAATAAATTCGCTGCTTGCTCGATTAATTTCGTATCAGGATAGGATAACGGCGGTGGCGAGCAGGGTAAAGCCTTAAATATTTTGCTTTCGTCCACATTTTGCGTTAATAATGTAGCGGGTAAGTCGAGATAAACGGCGCCTGCAAATAACGTAATCAAATGAGATATAAAATTGAATGTTACATAAAACTATGGAAAATATAAATTGACACAATTTTCTAATATTCTAATAGAGTTTTTTTAGATAATTTATTATCTAAAGAATTTTTTTCGTTTAATAAAATTTCAATAGCATATTTTCTATGCTAATAATAAAATTCTTTATTTATTTATATACTATATATATATTGTTGTAGAGATAATAAATCACTGAAAATAAATGAATCCAAGAGAGGAATGCTAACCATTGAAGAAACTATAAAAAAAAATCTCTAAAGTTTATAAATTTTATGAGCTGTCCAGAGACAAATACATGAAACATTAAATGACATTTTTCACTGCTTTTTTCGGAGAAAAATTCTTGGAATCCATTAGAAAATCCATTAAATATTCTTCTAATTTCTACCTGGTCTGCCGTAAGTAGCAAGTCGTACAGCTTTTTCAACATGCATTGGTATTAGTGTGGCTGATGGTGGTCTTGCCGCATATTTACAATAAGGTCTACTCGCTTCAACTTGCGGCCATTCCTGAAATCCACCTATCCCCTCATGATCTTCTGGACAAGATCCTCCTAATACAAGCACAGGCCTGCAAAACATATGTTCAAATAAAGACTTCGAATTCACGATAATGAAACTTTCATGCTAAGAAATCCAAGTCATAAATTTTGAGTAGAAAGCGGAATAATTTAAAAAAAATTATTTCCTATAGTCTTTACGGACAGTAAAAATGTATCACATACGCAGATGTGCGAATCCGATCTTTTTATTAGACAAAAATCACAAAACACATAAAAGTTACATAACCGTCTACTGCCGTAATCATTGTTACGAAATCGTAATCACAAGTCGGATGACAGTTGGATGGACAATTTCCATGACACGAGACGAACAAAATTGCGACGAAATTGCCGCATGTATGTAGATCTTTTGATAAGATACGAAAAAAAAATTAATTACCTTTTATAATTCCATCCCATCAAAATTTTGTATATTTCAGTCTTTATATATCCGCAATATTATTATATATTATGTATGTACGATTCTGACTTTATAATGTTTCATTCGAATGAAATTTTTTTACCGATAACGCATTTCATTTAATGCAATTTTGCAAAGGTTAATAAGATGATAAAAATCGCGTATCACTTACCAACAATTTATTTGTGCATTTGCCATACCGCCAATAACATGCAACAAACCCGGACCGGAGACGCATAGCACTATTGCGGGTTTTCCTAGAAAAAAAAAAATAGATCTTTATAAAAGATCTTTATATTTTTATCTGGTTTCTCATTATTTTGCACGTTTGAATTTCCTTGCGATATGTTATTATCTCGTTATATAACGTTTGATTAATTGAATGACAACATATAAAATATAATGTTCCATTGTTATTCCAAAACTTCAATTATCGTATAATTATTATAGTATATTAATATCGAAGTAAAAAAATAATCTATCAAATCTTACTCGTTAAATATCCGTAAGCCTGCGCAGCGTAACAAGCGGCTTGCTCGTTCCTAAAACCCAGATATTGCAAACCAACGGCTTGCATGCTTATAGCCAATTCAATCACAGGATGTCCCATGATACCGAAGACATAAGTCAAACCCTGCGCATTCGTAATATATATGTATATATGTATAAGAGGGTGATTTATTCTCCTGAGAAATAATTCGAATATACATATATGATACACACGTAGATCTTTGTTATTTTCCTCCGTGCTTAAAAATGCATATTAATAAGACATGACAAAAATACGTTACAATTACGAGAGAAATTAAATACGTCTACAAATATAAAATCACGCAACGGCATGATTAAGTGTGCCTGCAAAAATAAAAAAATTAAGATAAGTTTTTTTTCCTTTTCATTTAATTGATACATTACAATTTTCTTGATTCGTTATTTTCAATAGAAACATGAAGCGTAAGTTGATCGACCCCACGAGTTGCGACATATATTTATCAATGTATTGATAACGCATTATATTCGATAGGGTACAGAATGAAAATGAGACGCATGTCTATTATTTCAGTAGCAGCGATGATGTGTATAGTGACTCAATAAATACATATAGTTTTGATATATGCGGCATGTATCAAGAATGCGATGAGCGTACACCGTTAATAACATCGCAAAAGAAACGTAAGTATTTTATGATAAGAATCGCGGATACGCATTCGCGATAAAATACACGCTGCAAAAAATACTTTTAATAAACGCTACACGAATATGACTTGTATATACATATACTGTAAATTTAATCTTATCCCGTTATTCCGACAATCGTTAGCGACGATTGTTAAATTCTATTATTATTTTCTTTTTATGCAAACATGAAAAAGATCGGCTCAAAAATATCTTTCCTTGTGCATGAAATAAATTTTTTTTTATTCAGTATTACGTATTATAATATTATATATATTATTTTTTAAATATGTCAGAATATTGTTGAAATATCTTTATCATTTTTTTTTCTTTAATATTATATGTGCATGTTTAATTAATTTCTATTTTTTTATCATTAAAAGTATTAAAATTATCGTCTATTTGTGCCAGATACCAAAAATATATAACTAAAAATAGAAGAACCAATAATTTTTGTAGAAATAAGGAACTCTATCTCAACATACGTCAAGATATATGGTAAATAATAGAAAAAAGTAAATTTATTTAAAAAAAAGTTACAAAGTACAATAAGATAAAAAATTATAAGTTAAGAAAACTGTTTTGACTTTGCGATACAATTCGTTATAGAGTAAATTCATAATAAACACGTTATAATATCCAGAATGTAAACAATGATGTGTGTGTAAGCATCTTGATGTGTATGTGTGAGCATCGTGATATGCGTATGATCATAACCTTCAAATCGACGCGCGACCTCTCCCGCAAAACGTTTCATCAAATTTTAATCATCAAATAAAATTAGCGAAATTAATAGTCCTGTAAAAAAGGGTTTATATAGGATATTTCTCAAGAAATTTTCAAAATTTGCAATCTAAAAAAACTGATTTATATCGATTATGTATATATAATTTTATAGTTCACTAATAAAACTCTTTGTCATAGAAAATTAAAATAATAAAATCGGCAATACCTGCTCCTTCAGGGCTTCCGCCACGATTTGATTTCCGGTTTTCATCTTGACGTTCGTTCGATTTTTAAAGAGTACACGCGGGATTTAACACGAATGTCTTGCACGGTGCATCAAGAGCGTAAATATATATACACTCGTCGCCGTTCACAAGTCACGACTAGATCATGATCGTTGACTCGTGCTCTCCATGACCGTCAATATTATCAGCTGATAAATAAGAAACATTACGTAATCGTAATATTGCCTTTATCGCGCCAAAATACAAATCTAACGAAAATCATTTAATTCGAATTTAATTTGGATTTACGGGATTCCCCTAAGTCAGAAATTTAAATTAATTAAAAATACATTTAAAATATATAAATATAACGATAAAATAGACATCAGTATAAAAGAAATATTACATTTTTTAAATGTACAGCAAAGCGAAGTAAACAGAGTGGAAATCCATGTGTCATAATCAGAACAGTTAGATATTGAGCAGGCAAAAGAAGAATTATGGGATACCCATGATAACTCCTCTGATCGGACCGATGCAGTAGATGATCTTGAAGAACAAGGATCTGCTGTACTAAAACGAAATATATATTGCTATCTGACAGAGCCGAGGTTATGGAGAAATGCCGACATATACTCATATTGGAACTCTTAGGGTATATGTGTATTAAGACTTTTTGACTTAGAATGACAAAAAGAATACACAATTTCAGTGTGGACATCACGTTGCGGGACACCCTGTATATCATAAGACTTGCTTTTCTTTTTCTATGTGTTCCGTACATGTTATAAATTATAAACAAAACATTAATATAATAATTAATAATTAACATTCAAAAATGTACCAAATTACAAATAATAAATAATTTAAAATAAAATTTATGTGTCTTTATTTTAAATAAGTAACTCTTATATTTCCTATACAATAAATAAGCATAATATATTGAGCAAAACTGACTTAAAGAAAAAGTTCGATTTCGGTTTCGGTTTCGGCCGAAACTCAGACAAAAGCCGAAATTCGGTTTCGGTTTCGGTTTCGGCTGCAAAACTTAGTTTCGATCGGACACTAGTTATGCTCATCGAATTACAATGAACGAGTAGAAAGCCTGTAGAAAGCGAAATATGAAATGACTCGCAACGCGAATGTCATTATCGCGAGAATAGTGAAATGGCAGAACGATAATTGAATGTAATGAGATTGGTAAAACTTGCATTGCTTTTGGAATTTCACGCTTAAAATATTCTTATCGTGTAAAAGCAATGTGAAATAGCGCGGAATATATAATGAATCATATGTCACAGAGAGAATCATATACATATATTACAATTTATCAAGAATTTCATTACTTGAAAATATACAGATACGTTCTGAAAATTTTAGCAAATATTTTAATTAAAAAGTGAGTACTTTATATGATATTTCTTGTAAATAAACAAATCTCCGAAATAAGTATATAAAACAAATTATTGTCATGTTATTAATTCTAGTTTTTGCTGGAATGAGTAAAGTTTGCCAGTTCAGTTTAAGGTCAGCTTGTCCTACATTCAAATACATCATTATTGTATGTACAATAGAAATTGTTGTACAATAGAATGTATACGTAAAACGGCATACTATTCTCGCAGATAAAAGTTTAATGTTTGCACGCACGATTTACGTTTGCATAATCGGTCGATAACACTAAACGTGTGCCATATATCGATGCATAGGACATTCTCTGCATTTGAACTGTTTTTTTTTCTAGCTATAATAAGTACTTATTATAACAAAAAACGGTACAATTTTTTTCGAAAAATTGGCATATATATAATAGTGTCATAACATCTTTTCTTTATTATATATGCTACTTTAATTTTGAAAATATTATATTACATAATTAGCAAAACTTTCCATATTAAAAAAATAAAAAATAAAAAATGAGATTGCTGCCGAGATTATCGGTCCGGAAACGCTTTTGTCAAAGAGGTTTTTGGGTAAGAAACCCTTGATCTTCTCTCATTTTGCCACTGAAACTCCCCCACTTCTATTCTAACTTTCCTACACCTGTAGCAAGAGCGGCCGGTGTGGGGGTATAAATAGAGTGCTTCGACAGAAAATCATTCCCTTACAAAGCTAGATGACGAACAACAGTCAAATGGTCATGGCCCATGTGCGAAAATTTCAAAGATCAACACAAGTGTCGTGAGTTTGTGAGATTATGTTCCTTTGAGTTTCGCCGGTTTTTCAATTGATACTACACAATATGAAGTTTCAAAAACACCAGCAACGATTTTACCAATTATTGTCACGTAAGTTAAATTTTCCTTTGCAAACTTATTTTTATTGCAAAATTTATCTTATATTGCAAACTCGAGACTCCGAAATGTATTAACTACTCTATTAACAATTATTATCGCATAAATGGAGAGGAATTTCCGTCTTCTAACGATTTTACTTTTGGCGATATTTGTCGAAAAACCTGTTCTGATTTGTGAAATTTATAAACGCGATATGTACATTTAATGCTCTCAATAATTATTATATCAAGAGTGAAACATTTTTGTCCCTTTACGTTTCAGCCTTCGATATTTAATATTTAAGATAATATAATGTAGCATAAAATATACATATAAATTGACATTTTTAAGATTCTTGATCCTCTAAGATTGTGCAAGACTTATTCCATCCTAATCAAAATGAAAGAGAATTTAATACATTGTCCATTATTTCGAAAGAAAGTAAAATATTAAAAAAATTAAGATTAATTTTGCAACTCAATGATGCATTTCCGTCAATTACTCGCTCGATTCTAGGTGAATGGAAAAATTTTCCCCGTCTTTTATATGCATATATTTGCTTTTACTTTCGGCATTTTTGACATAGTTTCTGGATAGTGTCCGTTACTCAACCTTGTTGCGCGTGAAGGCAACCATGCAGATTTGCATGACCGGCTTTTTTTCGTAAAACTTTGCGGATTTACTATTAATTTCCGTTGTCAACTATAAGTTAAAACTTGGGAATCGTCTTGAGAATTGCTAAGACTTCAAACATCTTCATTCACTTATAAAAAATATTTGAAAAACCCATTTTACATGAAACTTTATACATAAATATCGTGGGATTAATATAAATTTAGTTTTCTTGCGATTGATGATTCCGAATTATATCAGGAATATATAGCTTATTCATTTTGTTATAATTTACACGATTTTGAATTTCGTAGATTTTCCTATTTAAACCGTTATCCCAACAAGGTCTTACACCACGTCGTGTTGATATATTTTTCAAAATATAACAACTCACGATACCTACAGTTTATGAATAACAAGACTGTGCCAGGCACAACGATCGATCGTGCGTTTGTGACCGACAATGACCGTTTAATTACCAGATAACATTAAATAAGGATACTTTCGCGAGGATAATTTCTTGCTCGCGTATAACATGACCGATAAAATACATTTGTACATTTTCTCTGTATGTAGTAGAACAAGAATGTTTCACTGCTATCAACAAGATCAAAAATTTTCGTCTTAACGATGAATTTTAAAATAACAACTTTCACAAACGCATTAGCAGGAGATGTAGAAATAGTATATAAAATTTTAATTAAATTTCTGTAACATTTGTGAAACAGGACTTTCGTAACTTTTTTATATTATTGTAATTATTTGTACTTGTATGCCTTTTTGTATCTGGTATATATAATCTATACCCAAATATTTCCTCCAGGCAGTTTGTTTTTCCTGCTCAGCATATTTTCTTAAAAAGGATAAAAAATATATATTTAGTTAACTATAGCTAGAGAAGAGAGAGAGAGAGAGAGAGAGAGAGAGAGAGAGAGAGTACTAACTTGAATCAATCATTAACCGAGATTATAAGAAAATATCACACAATCAAATTTTTTTATTTAATGAAACAAGAAATATTTACTATCTTCTCTCTCTCTCTCTCTCTGAATTTTCTGTGCCATTGTCTTCTGAAATTTTTACAAATTATTTAAGAAGATATTCAATTATAATCGCGTTTAACGCTAATTTAAATTATCCCTAAAAAATTAAAATATAATTAACTATTTTATTTGATGAGATAAAAAATTAGCTCGTGATAACATAATTATAATCCTCTATCAGATAAAGCCATTTCCATACATGAGAGGGCGATAATATAACTTTATTAAACTGAATATAACGGCAGAATCTCGAGAAGCAAATGACACAAGGCTTGCTGCGATCTGCGATATTCGAGAGAGAAACTAATCGTTCGCGAATCTAGTTGACATGGTAATGTTTCGCATAATCGGTTGTGAACTTTTTCTCTCTAAAATATTTCTAAATGCGGGCGTTGCGCGAAAACGTGCTTTCGATTCGTACTCCACCGATTTTCTGGAAATTTATATTACGTAAGTGCGCGGATCGTACGATGAAAGCGATCGAGTTAAAATCTCGTTAGAGGATACATAACGAACGTTATATATTAGACTGAAGCAGGTTATTTCATCTATTTGTTTTGCTCCGAATAGAACAATTTTCCAAGATAACATTCCACGAGAATGTAAAACGTATTAAAGCAAAAAGGAGCTTTATTATACGCTATATGTATTCTTAATTTAATAATATTCGTATATCTTTCTGTAAATGTTAATTTTCCGGCATTCCCCATTTCGATAATGATGTCATTCTTTTGCAATGTCTGTTAAACGTTTATACTTTAAGCCAAAAGAGAATGTTAATTGTCTCATTAGAAAAAAATATCCGATTTCGACATTATCATTTTATTAGTACTTAGAAACGTCATGTGGTACAACATAAAATATCGAGATAAATATGCATTTATAATTGTAATTATGCGATTAAATTCCAATAAACACTTTAATTTGTGTATTGCTTGCTAAGAATGGTGGAAAGCGATAAATAATACATAATGCTTCGGGTTTCCTTTCCAACAAAATTCTTTACATTTTTTTATCTCTATCAATTCTTTCCTTTTTTATCTTGGACTTTTCATTTTTCGTAGAAAAAATCTAAAAACTGGACTTTATATGTAGCTTCATATATCTAAATTTATTCCGTGAAAAAAATTAGTTTTTAATTGCTTATTAATATATTATTAATATATATATA